AACTAAGGCAAAAGAGAAAGCATAAAACACAAAACAAGAAATGTTAGGAGACATGGATAAACCTTGAAAATATTATGCTGAATGAAATATGTCAGACACAAAAGGATAAATATTGTATGATCCCACTTATGTGAAATATCTACAATTGGCAAATGCATAGAGATAAAAGTATATTAGTGGTTACCAGGGACTGAGGGGAGGGGGAAAAGAGGAGATATTGCTGAAAGGGTACTGAGTTTGTGTTTAGGGTGACGAAAACTTTTGAAGATAGTGGTGATGGTTGTACAACACGGTGAATGTAATTAATGTCATTGAGTAGGACATTTAAAAATGGTCAAAATGGTAAAACTTTTATTATATATATTTTGCTACAACAAAATTTTTAAAATAAGAAATGATAGAAATAACCATAGATAATGATGAAATTAAATAACTATAAAAGCCTACTTTGTTCACTTTTATGCAAATAAATTTGAAAACCTGGATTAAATGGAAAATTTTCTAAGAAAATATAATTTAGAAGAACTGATTACAGGAGAAATAGAAAATATAAACAGATAAATTCCCACAGAAGAAATAGAGGAAGGTGTCAATAAGTTACCCCCAAGCCAATGAGAAAAAAAATTACTGGTGCCAAAGGTAAGTAAGGAAATTCTCCAAAATAGAATAGCTATTTTCCATGCTATTTAAACTGTTTTAGGAGAAAGAAAAATAAACTTTCCACATGCCATTGAAACCAAAAATCCAAAACTATTACACAGAATTCAGTTACTACCGACCAATCCCATTAATGATTACCAGTGGAAAAATCAAAAATAAAATGTTAGAATACTGAATTCAGCAGCATATTTAGAAATTGATCCATCAAAATCAAGTAGACTTCCCCCACCAAGAATTCAACTATATTTCAATATTAAGATATTGGTCAATATAACTCATGACATTCATAGTTCTAAAGAAGTAAAAAAATAAATAAATAAAAGTTATAAGATCAGCTCCACACATTCCAGTTAACTGGCCTAATGTCGTGTTTAGTGCTTCTGTTCTACCTCCTAGTTTGTTGCATAGTGCCTAGGGTCTTAAAAGCTAGAAAGCTGCCATCCAAGGTACAACAATTGGCTTCTAGTTGCCTGGAGCAACAGAGGAAGAAGGAGAGTCAGGAATAGGAGGAGGAAATGGAATGTGTGGCTCCACGAACAGCTACCTCTTTTGCCATGAGGCCAGAAGAACTGGATGGTTCCCAGCTACCATTACTGAATGTTTTGATCAAAGATTCTATAGAAGAATCCTGATTAAAAGGGGGCAGGGGAATACAGAACAGAATTTTAAATTCTCATGGAATCCAGACTTTCTAGAGCCAGAGACCGGAAGAACCCCTGAATCGACTGCCCTGAGATAATCTTTAAACCTTAAATCAAAAATATCCCCTGAAGTCTTCTTTAAACCAAATAAGTTTAGCTTAACTAGTAAAGAATGTCTTCCTTAAGCATTGTGCTCTTTTAAGAACTAACTATATGAGATCAAACTGAAGACAGACACTTGAAAGATTAGATAGGAAACTTAGGGGGCAGTGAGTTTATGTTAATGGGGGAAGGCAATTTCAGAAAAGAAGTGTGAGAATGGTTGCACAACTTGAATGTAATCAATGTCACTGAATTGTACTTGTAGAAATTGCTGAATTGGTGTATGTTCTACTGTGTATGTTCTCAACAATAACAACAAAAAGTAAAATAAATTTTGAAGAGATTAGTTCCACAGGTGCTGAAAAGGATTTAACAAATTCAACAACCATTATTGTTTTTTTTTTAAAAAATCCTCAATAAAAGATGAAAACCTCCTTAAAATGATAAATTATATTTGCCTGAAATCCAGTATCAAATTTAATAGGAACACACTAGAGTTTTCTCAAAACAAACATGTCCGTTATCATCTATCTTAGTTAACATTGTTCTAGAAGTACCAGTCAATGTAATTAAACCAGAGAAAGAAACTAGAGGTATAAAACTGGCAAGGAGGGTTGACATATCATTATTTGTAAATAATATATCTATACAACTGGAAAACACAAAACAATTAACTTCAAGATAACTGTAAACAATATGAGAATTGTTAATACAGGAGGCCACAACATTAATACCAAATATTAACAGCTTTTCTATATCCCAACAACAATCAGTTCAAAGGTAAAATGGAAGAAAAGATCTCATTTACCATAGCACAAAAAGATAAAAATATCTTACACACAATCTGTAAGTTTCACATGAAGAAATAGGTACAAACAGTTAATGTTCTCAGCTGCTAACCAAAAGTTTGGGAGTTTGAGTTAACCCAAAGTTGCTTTGGAAGAAAGGCCTGGCGATCTGCTGTCAAAAAATCAGCCGTTGAAAACTCTATGGAGCATAGTTCTACTCTGACACACATGTGTTCGCCATGAGTCAGAGTTGACTTTATGGCAACCAGTGGTTGGTTGGTTGGAAAAACACAAGACTTGAATAACATGAAAAGAGAAAGGCAAAAACAAAAAAAAGAGAGCAAGAAAGGCATACTCATGGAGGGAGAAACTGTTGAGCATAAAATTCAGCATAAAATAATTTATAAATTTAACACTATTCCAATAAAAATGCCAATAGGATCTTTTTATACTAGTCAGTGTGAGTTTAAAGCTCATGTGGAAAAATAAGAAAGTAAAAATAGAATAATTCTAGAAAAGAAGATGAATAACAAAGGGGGATTATCCAATTCTTCAAACATAAAGTCTTATGACAGGGATACATATACCAACAGATCAGATCAATGGAATAGAACAGAAAAGTCTCCAAATTACCCAGAGAGCATAGAGGAAATTAGCATATCATAAAGGGAGCATTTCAAATCAATGGGGAAGAAAGGATTAATCAATAAATGGCGTTACAACAAATGGGTGGACATTCAGTAAAAAGTAAAATGTAAGCTATACCTCAACCTTTATATCAAAATATACATTTAAATATATTACATATTTATATGTTTTAAAGGGAATTATAAAAATACTAGAAGAAACCATGAGAGAATTATTTATAAATTTGGATAAAGAAGGCATTTGTAATTCTGATATAAACTCTGAAACCATAAAAGACTGATAAATTAAATTTAATAAAAATTTAAAATTTCTGCATGGAAAGAAAAAAGTACAAGGGGAGACAAAAGAAAATGACAAACTGAGAAAAAAATCTATTTGCAACTTGTCATTGTTAGTTGCTGCTGATTCAGCTCAGACTCATGGCAACCTTATTATAACAGAAAGGAACATCACCAGGTCATGCACCATCTTCATGATCACTTGCAACTTACATTATGCAAAAAGGACTAAGTTTCCTAATTTCTGAGAAAGCACATGCAAATGGCAGTAATTCCATAATCCAATAGAAAACTAGACAAAATACATGAGGAGGGAATTTAAGTTGCTATCAAACATATAAAAAATGATTCTCATCCTCACTAATGAAATTAGGTTGTACCGTATGAAATTGCCCTTTTTCTTGGTTACATATAGCAAGATATTGGCAATTTCATGTGGTTGAACTTAATAAGAAAAATGCACATTAAAACTGCAGAAAAATACAATTTTCACCTAGCACATTGACTTCTACATTGATCACGGGAGTATAAACTGAATAACCCTTACTGAGAGCAATTTAGCAATAATTGTCAAATGTACACAGCATTTGAGGCAATACTTGCTCCAGAAATGATATATGCGTGATATTATTTACTGCAGTATTATTTTTAATATTGCAAGATTAGAAACAAACCCAATGTCCATCAATTAAAAAATTGGTTAAATAGATATGACTCATTAATTTAATGGTATACTATGCAACTATACAAAAGAATAGGGCACTCTTTTAGTACAGATATGGAAATATCTCTAAGATATGGATATATAATTGAGTACAACACTGTATATAGCATGCTTTCATTTGTGTAAAAGAGGTAAAAATAGTATTTGTATTCACTTAAATGCATGAAGGAGCCCTGGTACAGCACTGGTTAAAGAACTTGGCTGCTAACCAAAAGGTTGGCAGTTCGAATCCACCAGCTGCTTGGTGGAAACCCTATGGGGCAGTTCTACTCTGTCCTATATGGTCGCTATGAATGGGAAGCAATTTGACGGCAACGGGTTGAAGTGCATAAAAGATAAAAGAAATGAAAGCAGTAGCTGCCTCTGGGGAAGGGACCTGGGCAGTTAGTGAGAGGAAGACCTTTGACTATACATGTTTCTATAATGTGGGGGTTTGAACCTTGTGAATGCACCATATTCAAAAAAAAAAAAATTTAAAAAAGGAGAAAGAAAGACTTAAGTCCTGCTTACAATCAGGAAAGCATCTCCACTCATTCCACCCCCATCATCTCTAGAGATTTAGTAGTTGTCTGAGGCAAAACGGTTTGAATGCTGGGACGTCAGTATATATATATATTTTTTTATACCTTCCTTTGGTCCAAATGTAAAGGGTTGGAAATTTTAGTGCAAGGGAGTTAGTGTGCAGTGATATAGATAGACAGATACATACATAAAATATATGTTATATTTTATACAACATATGCATATATCTTTTATTTGTTTATTTATTTATTTATCTGAGGGGCAATTTAAGGGATCTTCAACAGTAATTTTACTTTAAAATCTTACCTGTGTGTAAGAAGTAACTCCACTGTATTAGCTTAGCCACTTAGTTTTCTCTTCTCTAAAATAGAGATGATAATACCTACGTCATAGTGGTGATGTAAGAATTACATGAGATAAAGTATATAAAGAATAGACCACAGCACAAGACATGAAACTGCTCACTGCGTGTTACTGAGCTACTGTTATTAAAGCAAGGAATTTTAAGATTAGTCTAGAAGACCAGAATTTCCTTTTTATCTCAATGGTTTTCCCTTCATTTCCCAAGTAGTGCTCACATGTTCCTGAATTCGGTGTTTTCCTTCCATGTTCTTGATAACGGAGCTATCTGTCATACCTTTCCTGTAGTGGTGATAGGCTGTGACTGTGATATCCTCAGACGTATTTCGGGTCTTCATTTGGACTCCTGAGCTGTCCCCAAAATCTATCACCAGACAAAGAGATCCTTCAGAAGCCATTTGGACTTTGAAACCCAGATTTGGAGATGCCCAAGTGTCACCTTCTGATAACCACTGGCTGACAGGATTCACCACAACAACGGCAGGATCGTGTGTAGTGATGGCCTCAGTAAGACATGGACTGAGGAAGCAGAGCTTCCTGGGCTCAGATTGGGTTGCAGAGCGGCCCTGGGAGTGGCGAGCGCCAGGAGGAACATTTGCAGAGCTGTGGGGAGAGGCAGAGTGCTTCAGAGTCTAACAGGATCACCACCAGAATCAAATCATATTCCCCCAACCCGAGCAAATCACCAGTAGGGAGGAGCCTAAGCTGGAGGCTTTACACCTGAAAAAAAAGGTCTGTGTAATCTTTTTCAAATTGTTTCAACCAATGGTTCTAAATATGGCCCCAGGACCACAGCATCACCATCATCTGGACACTTGTTACAGATCCAAAGTCTCAGACTCCACCCAGACCTGCTGGATCATAACCCCCAGAAAAGTCTGAGGTAAGCTAACATGTTGGAATCATTGCTCTAGCTGTATCCATAAAGAGAATAATGAAAATATTTTCTCTCATTGCTGAATTGATGGACATGAAAACTTGGGTCTCTCAAAAGTCACTACCACATATGTTTTCATAAAAATGCTTTATGTGGGGGAGTGGGCACCACCCTTTTTATGTGTAACTCTTTATGCTGTGAATAAGGGGTGGAGTCTTGTGAATAGTCTGGACTGTCATGATCAAAATTTACTTTTAAAAAGCTGTTTCAGGGTGATGATACAGTATTGGTACAGTTAGGTAGCTGGCAGCATAAACTAAAGGACAGAAAACAGAGAGAAGACTTTTATGACAGTGGAAAGGGCTTCAGTATCTTATGACCAATTCACCTGCTCCCTCCTCTCAAAGCGTGCTTCACCTGCCACACTAAGAATGCAATCACACAAGCCTTCAGTCTGGATATCTGTCTGATTTGAAACAAAAAGGAAACATAAAGGCAAATAGCTGCAAATGACAGAGTCTGGTACAATGAGGATGCTAAAGTCACCAGCTGAATTTGGGCATAGCTCCTGACTCGGTCATGAGAAGGGACAACAGCCTTCCCACTACCCTTACCTTACCTTCTGGGAACAGCAAGGGAATGTGAAGTTGACCACAGGAGGGACAGCTTGCTCCTGACCTGAACAGGGCCCATTGCCTCAGTCCAGGTCCCCGTCTCAACAGTAGTCAATAACACATGGGTCCCATGAGGGAGCTTCTTGACTACATCCTCTGCAGAGCACAGTGGTCTAATGATACAATTGGAAATCTCCATTTTCAAGCTGTAGGGTGCCCCTGCAGAAGGGTTGCACTGAAATATAAAAAATTTAATAACAGCTGAAGGTTTATCAAATGGCCTAGTTACTGGCATAGGCGCTCTGTCGACAAGCAAACTCATAGAGAATCTGGGTGAGGCTGAGGTCTCAGAGACTTTCTGTAGGTTACAGCAATTTCCCCCACTTCATGCAATGACAGGACGTTGGGAAAGAGATAACTTGTACACAAATTTCCCCCACCTCATAGAATGACATGACATTGGGAAGGAGATAACTTGTACTGTTCCTGCTACTCTCCAAGAGAGGGCCACACTGTAGCCAGCTGTAACCAGGGCAAAAGTTTAATCAGGAATTTCTGGAATAATTATTATTAGAAGTTCATATTGTTCCTTTGGTTAAGCAAATGGAAGACTAGCTATTTGATACAGTCGGCTATAAATCAAAGTTGACAGCTTAGAGGTGGTGCTTTTGCAGACATCAAAAGTATACGTTCCTTAAATGGTGTAGGTATAGAACTTTCTAATGGAGAGGAAGGCAAGGCGATACCAAGTAACAGTAGACTGGTTCAAATCTAGGAAGATACGGGTAAATTTCAAGGTCAACACAAAAGAAAGTTAACAAACCTACTCATCAACATGAAGAAGAAAAACAAAGTCTCACAAGGACTAGAAGGCAGAAGGGGACAGGAAAGCTGGTAATAGGGAACCCAAGGTTGAGTAAGGACAGTGTTGACATGTAGTGGGGTTGTTAACCATTGTCATAGGGCAACATGTGTACAAACTGTTTAATGAGAAACTATTTTGTTTCATCTAAACTGAGAATAGTAGCACAACTGGAAGAACGTAATTGATGTCAATGAATTGTGCATGTATAAATTTTTGAAATGGTGTATCTTTGGCTATGTATATTTTAACCAAAAAAAAAGGTCGAGAAGGGAGAGGGCTGACATGTCATGGGGTTGTTAACCAAAGTCATAAAACAATATGTGTACTGACTGTTTAATGAGAAACTATTCATCTGTAAACCGTCACCTAAAGCACAATTAAAAAAAAAAAAAGAAATACAAAGTCTCAGTAAAAACAAAATCTACAAAAAAAAAAAAAAAAAAATCCACAAACAAAAGAATTCAGCACAGGAGAGTAAGCAGAACAAAGAAAATGTCAGCACCACGAAAAAAAGTGATACAAAATGACAGCAATAAACTCACACCTATCAACAATTACACTGAATATAAATGGCCTAAATGCACCCATAAAAAGACAGAGAGTGACAGAATGGATAAAAAAACAGGATCCAACAATATGCTGTCTACAAGAAACACACCTTAGAAACAAAGATGTAAATTTATTGAAAACTAAAAGATGGAAAAAATATATCAAGCAAGCAGCTACCAAAAAAGAGCAGGAGTGGCAATACTAATCTCAGATAAAACAGACTTTAAAATAAAATCTAAAATAAAAGACAAAGAATGGCACTATATAATGATTAAACGGACGATCCGTCATGAAGACATAACCATAATAAACATCTACACACCCAACGACAGGGCTCCAAAATACATGAAACAAACTCTAACAGCACTGAAAAAAGAAATTGACAGTTCCACAATAATAGTAGGAGACTTCAACACACCACTTTTGGTAAAGGACAGCACATCTAGAAAGAAACTCAACAAAGACACAGAAGATCTAAAGGGCACTATCAGCCAACTTAACCTCATACACATATGTAGAACACTTCACCCAATAGCTGCAAAGTACACATTCTTTTCCAATGTACATGGAACGTTCTCCAGAAAAGACCACATCTTAGGCCACAGAGCAACCCTCAACAAAATCCAAAACACTGAGATAATATAAAGTATCTTCTCTTATCACAATGCTATCAAAGTAGTAACAACAGGAAGAGCAAGGAAAAAAAATCAAACACATGGAAACCGAATAACTCTCTGCTTAAAAACCACTGGATAATAGAAGAAAATCAGAGATGGAATCAAAAAATTCTTAGAATCAAATGAGAATGAAAACACATCATACCAAAACCTTTGGGACACAGCAAAGGCAGTGATCAGAGGTCAATTTATAGCAAAAGATGCACATATCAAAAAAAGAAGAAAGGGACAAAATCAAAACATTAGCTACACAACTCAAACAAATAGAAAGAGAACAGCAAAAGAAGCCCACAGTCACCAGAAGAAAGGAAATAATAAAGATCGGAGCAGAAATAAATGAAATAGAGAATAGAAAAACAATAGAAAGAGTCAACAAAACCAAAGCTGCTTCTTTGAAAGGATCAATAAAATCAACAAACCACTAGCCAAATTGACAAAAGAAAAGAGAAGACACAAAAAACCCAAATAAGAAATGGAATGAGGGACATTACAACAGACCCAACTGAAATAAAAAGGATTATAACGGAGTGTTATGAAAAACCATGCTCCAAAAAATTTTGAAAACCTAGAGGAAATGGACAAATTTCTAGAAACACACTACCTACCCAAACTAAAACAAAATGATGCTGAAAATCTGAACAGACCCATAACAAGAGAAGAGATTGGAAAGGTAATAAAAAAAACTCCCCCCACCCAAAAAAAGCCCTGGCCCAGATGACTTCACTGGAGAATTCTACCAAACATTCAGAGAAGAGCTTATACCAGCACTACTCAAACTATTTCAGAACACAGAAAAGGAAGCGACATTTCCGAATTCATTCTACGAAGCCAGCATAACCCTGATACAAAAACCAAGCAAAGATGCCACAAAAAAAAAGAAAATTACAGACCAATATCTCTCATGAACATAGATGCAAAAATTCTCAACAAAATTCTAGCCAAGAGACTTCAGCATCATTTCAAAAAAATAATACACCACAACCAAGTAGGATTCATACCAGGTATGCAAGCATGGTTCAACATTAGAAAATCAACCAACGTAATCCATCACATAAATAAAGGAAAGAAAAAAATCACATGATCATCTCAATTGATGCAGAAAAGGCATTCAACAAAGTCAAACACTCATTCCTGATAAAAACTCTCAATAAAATAGGTATACAAAGGAAATTTCTCAACATAATAAAGGGAATCTATGCAAAACCAACAGCCAACATCATTCTTAATAGAGAGAGGCTGAAAACATTCCCCTTGAGAACAGGAACAAGACAAGGATGTCCTTTATCACCACTCCTATTTAACATTGTACTGGAACTCCTAGCTAGAGTAATAATGCAAGAAAAAGAAATACAGGGTATCCAAATTGGTAATGAATAAGTTAAACTGTCCCTATTTGCGGATGACATGATACTATACGTAGAAAACCCAAAAGACTCCCCAGAAAAACTACTGGAATTAATAAAAAGATTCAACAGAGTAACAGCATACAAGACGAACTACAAAAATCAGTTGGATTCCTATACACTAATAAAGAGAACGACGAAAAGGAAATCAGGAAAACAATACCATTTATAATAGCCCCTAAAAAAATAAAATACTTAGGAATAAATCTAACCAGGGATATAAAAGACCTATACAAAGAAAACTACAAAACACTCCTGCAAGAAACAAAAGAGATCTACATAAATGGAAAAACACACCATGCTCATGGATAGGCAGACTCAACATTGTGAAAATGACAATTCTACCCAAAGCAACTTACAAATACAAGGCAATCTGGATCCAAATACCATCAATTTTCTTTAAGGAGATGGAAAAACTAATCACTAACTTTATATGGAAAGGGAAGAAGCCCCGGATAAGTAAAGCACTATTAAAGGAGAAGAATAAACTTGGAGGACTCACACTACCTGACCTCAGAACCTACTATACAGCTACAGTAGTCAAAACAGCCTGGTACTGGTACAATGACAGACACATTGACCAATGGAACAGAATCAAGAACCCAGATGTAAATCCATCCACCTATGGCCGCTTGATCTTTGACCAGGGCCCAAAGTCCGTGAAATGGGGAAAAAACTGTCTTTTTAACAAATAGTGCTAGCAAAACTCGATGTTCATCTGCAAAAAAAATGAAACAGGACCCATACTTCGCACCATACACAAAAACGAATTCAGAATAGATCAAAGACCTAAATATAAAGCCAAAAACTATAAAGTTCATAGAAAAAAAAATAGGATCAACGCTAGAGGGCCTAATACACAGCATTAACAGGATACAAACCATGACTAATAACACACAAACTCCAGAAGAGAAGCTAGATAACTGGGATCTTCTAAAAATTAAACACTTATGTTCATCAAAAGACATCACCAGAAGACTAAAAAGAGAACCTACTGACTGGGGAAAATTTTTTGGCTATTACAGATCTGACAAAGGTTTAACATCTAAAATCTACAGGAAAATCCAACACCTCTACAACAAAAAGACAAATAATCCAATTAAAAAATGGGCAAAGGAAAGGAACAAACACTTCACCAAAGACAACATTCAAGCAGCTAACAGACACATGAGGAAATGCTCGCGATCACTAGCCATCAGAGAAATACAAATCAAAACCACAATGAGACACCATCTCATCCCGGCATTACTTGCACGAATTAAAAAAACAACAACAAAAAAACAGAAAATAACAAATGTTGGAGAGGCTGCAGGGAAATTGGAACTCTTATGCACTGCTGGTGGGAATGCATAATGATACAACCATTTTGGAAAACCATATGGCGCTTCCTTAGAAAGCTAGAAATAGAAATACCATGTGATCCAGTAATCCCACTCCTAGGAATATATCCTAGAGAAATAAGAGTCGTCACTCGAATAGACATATGCACATCCGTGTTCATTGCAGCATTGTTCACAATAGTAAAAAGATGGAAACAACCTAGATGCCCATCAACAGATGAAGGGATAAACAAACTATGGTAGAAACACACAATGGAGTACTATGCCATGTTAAAGAACAATGATTCATTTGCGAAGCATTTCACGACATGAATGAATCTGGAGGGCATTATGCTGAGTGAAATAAGTCAATCACAAAAAGACGAATATTGTATAAGACCACTACTATGAAAACTTATGAAAAGGTTTACACACAAAAAGAAACAATCTTTGATGGTTACAAAGGAGGGAAGGGGTGAGGA